ATTGCACATTACCATCTTGGTGGTGTTTTTTAATTACTCATTGTGTTCTCTCTTTCCTTTTAGATTACTGTTCACTACTTTGTATTTTTAAGGAGGAAATATAGGATTGATCATAGAACAGAACAAAACCTGAAAAAAGTTCCAGCAAAATTACTCAAAAATGATATTCTAAAGCAACTTGAAGCAACTTCACCTTGCCTTCTTGCATTACTTTTGACATTTAATTTCATTATGTCCCTATTATCAAATTTATTGCTTTTTTTAAAAAAAGTGTAACTCATCATTGTTTGTGTTGGTTTTTCTAAACAATGGCATATAAAATATATTTAATTAGAAGAAAAAAAGCAATATTTATAAATTAAATCTTCCCAGCCCATTAAAAGAATTGTTATTTGAAAAGATTTATTTCCATGCATAAAAAATGATTGTATTAATTGCAACTCTTTGGGGTTAACATTAATTCATTATAGCATAAATTAAATTCATTGCAGCATGATTTTATTAAATCAGATGATAATTTTTAGTTTTAAAACAACTTGGGAAACCACAAACTTTAATTTACTATGGTTGAGTAGCACAAGGAGTAGAAGTGGCAGCGGAAGCAGCAAATTAAAGTCTTCCTATAACAATGGGGGGAATGCGTTGGACTTCTCTGGAATATTTGCAAAACCAACATTTCTGTTTAACTGATAAGTGAGAAGGTAATTGTCAAAGGCCGAAATCACTTAGGGATATATGCATGGGTAAGTCACGCTATACACGCAGGGCTGAAAAGCCATTATTGTGCAACAGATGTATTCTGCTGATAACAGTGGAAGCTGGGTTGCACACACAGCATGTTCATCTGTGCCTTATCTCCACAAGTTGCTCATTGTGCATTTTGCTTGTGCATCCTATACTTTGCATTGCAGTTGTGCATTGTGTATGAATCAGCATACCTTAGTAGTTTAAGCACTGGACTATGACTTCAGAAAACTCCAATACCGTTTTAAGGACAAATGTGATACCTATTATTATTCCCTGCCAGAAGTGAGCAATGACTGAACAGGACCAGAGCTTTTGGACTAGAGTCTCTCTATGTTCAGACCATCTCCAGCACTTGATGCGTTCCTCTATGTTAAGTCAGTAAAATCTGACCACTGTTCAGTGAGAGTGCAAAGTGATTTTCTAGTCAATCAGTTGCAGTCACAAATCCATACCCACCAAGAAGTTATTTGGAAGGACACATTTCCAATTAAAAGTGTCAAATGGGATCTGCACAGTTCAGTAGCTCATTAAATCCACAGCTCATCTTAGTGGAGAACCAACTTCACCACCACCACCACCGCCCTGTCCCACAACAGACTCTGCCCTGTGCAGGAACCTTAGTGCCCCATGAGTCTCTCATTCTGCTAAGCTATCTAGACCAAACATTAGGGTCATTCAGACATCAGGTTTTTTATCGGAATGATGTGAATAAGCCAACTCACATATTACAGGTTTGTCAGCACACTATTTTTTCATCGGAACCACATCTCTTTGCATCTTCTCATGTTCTGTTGCTCAGAGATGTTCGCCAGCCCTGTGCCTCCCCCACCCCACAAATGGGTGCAACCCCTGGGAGAAACTGTCTTTGGCTGAGCCTCCCAAGGTAGCAGCAGTGGCAGCAATGTCTCCCACTGCTCCCTGGAGCTGCCAGCTGCCAAGAGATGGTGGGAGGAAGGGGGAAATGAAAGCAGGAGATTCCTTTTCTCCATCAGAGGGAAAAGGCACAACCAAACATGCAGGGTTTAATCCTGGATCTATTCACACTGTTATTCACACTGCCAATTATGTGAATCTTTTGGGGAAAAACTCGAGGCGGAGGGGGAAACCAGGTACTGATTATTCAGGGTTAAGTGGGGGTTTTGCTAGCCCCCCCCCAAAAAAATTGAATTGGGTGCATTTGGGATGCAACAAAGATTCAACCCGGATTCATTCTGGATTATTTCCCCCATCTGAACAGTTCCATAATCTTCAGGCAGAGTTTGAATTGTAGATATTCCCAAATGACAATTTGGGGGAGCTTGGACTCACATTCATCAAATTGATTTGGAACAGTCTTTCACCATCAGTAAGCTGCATGGTGGTATTAACTCCAAGGGCTACTTCTCTGTGCTATATTCTTGGCTTGTCTCTTTTTGGAGTTTATCACATAGGACGAATCCCATGCAGAAACGAGATTTAAAGTGAAAACAACCCGCTTTTGCAGGTTGTTTTTCACATGATGTTTGTGGTTAACCCAAACAGAATGTAGAAAAAACCCACAAATGTAGGTTGTTTTTCAGACAATATTTGCATGAAAGAGAAATAACGCGAAAATAACCCGAACGGAAAGCCAACAAAACCTGCTCCTTTTTACTTTTGGGAAATTCCAAAAGTAGAAAGTAGTGGGTTTTGTCGATTTTCTGTTCAGGTTATTTTAACATTATTTTTCTTTCTGCCAATGCGTCTGAAAAACAACCCACATTTGCAGGTGTTTAGAGGATTTTAAAATCCTATTTCTGCATGGAAATTGCCTCCATGTGGTAAACTCCTTTGTTACCTTAGAACTGCCCTGTAGTATGAAGAAGCCAGAGGGGATCCCAAATTACTCCCTAGTGTCCTTGCAGTTTTGAGGAGTTTATATGTTGCATTTTTGAAGACAATGAGAGTTGAGGACCACCTGTCCCTATAGTAGCTCTGTTTTCTGCCTCTCCAGTTCTATCTATTAGAAGCATTCAATCCCTAGATTCTTCCTGATCCAGCATTATGCTTAGGCAGCCATGAACGTATTACAATAAGTTCTGCAGCTGGAAAACCAAGTCTGCCCTTCATGATGGAAATGCAACAACGCTATGCACTAAATGAATTAAATGTGTCTTAAACAGAACAGTAGTGACTGGGTTAAATAGTGTTCCAGTGACCTAAATCTCCTCCATGCCATATGATAATTTCAACTAATTGAATTTAAATTGTTTTAGTGTCAGTGGCAATGAATTAATTTCCCAATCCAAATGTTTAACATTATCAAATTAATATTGAAGCCTAACATTCCAAGCTTTGGTTAGGCAAAATTTCTTCCAGATAGTTTTACAGCAGATTCTGCTTCTCCAAATTGTGGCATTCGTGATCAGAGGGGAGGAACCTATCTCTTACCCTGGGCTTCATTACAATACATCCTGCTTTAAAGCCACACGTCCTGGATTTCACCCACTGGACCCTGAGTTTGTGCAATAAATTTGCACATCCTGTCTGTTATACTGTCATTTTTTCTGCAACTAGATTTGTCTCCTACACAGAGAGGGGACTCTATTTTTTGGTATTTTTTTGTTTCAGATGAAACAAAAAGCTTTCATCCCACAAGCCACAAAGCCAACAACACACCTTTCTTCAGATATGACTGTCACACTGCACCGTTGTTCTCATACAAGCTTCACCATTGCCTTTATGTTCACAACTGCCAGATTTAAAGTAGCCAGAATCTGAGATGGAGGATAACAAATTGAAATAAATAGAAATTTTGCCCATATCCTTCCTCGTACAGAAAGAAACAGTCTCACCTCCCCCATCTGATCCTTCAAGGGAGCTCTTATTTCACACCATCTACAACTGCAGCTTTTTTTTCCCCCTGTGTGAATTACAGTCGACCCTCCATTTCCAAGGATTCAACCATCCATGGCTTGAAAATATTTCAAAATTCCAAAAAGCAAACATTGATCTCAGCTTCAGAGAAAGGCAATGGCCAACCTGCTCTGAATAAATCTTGCCAAGAAAACCCCATGGCAGGGTTGCCTTAGGGTCACCATAAAACAGAAACAACTTGAAGGCACACAACAACAAAAAAAAGGAATGGGAATCCTGTAGGTCTGCAAATGTCTGGCCAGCATAGTGAGTCTGGAGGGCTCAATGATTTCCTGATTTAACAGAATGGGTGTGAATGCATGTTACCCTTTCTTTATATTGTTCCACAACAATAGAAAGTTATTATTTATTATGTGTATGTGCTTTCAAGTCGCCTGTCAACTTATGGTGACCCCATGAATTTCATAGGGTTTTCTTAAGCAAAGAATACTCAGAAATGGTTTTGCCAGTTCCTTCCTCTGAAATAGAGCACGCAGCACCTGGAATTCATTGGTGATCTCCCATCCAAATAATAACCAGGGTTGACCATACTTAGCATCCAAGATCAGACAGAATCTGGTGCCTTTAAGATAATTTGTTGTTGTTGCTGTTGTGTGCCTTCAAGTTCTTTCTGACATACTGTGTCCCTAAGGTGAAACTATAATGGAGTTTTCTTGGCATGTTTCTTCAGAATGGGTTTTCCATTGCATCCTCTGAGGCAGAGAGAGTGTGATTTGCCCAAGGTCGCCCAGTGGGTTTATATGGCTAAGCTGGGATTTGAACCCTGGTCTCCAGAGTCATAGTCCATAGCCTCCAACCACTACACCACGTTTAAGCCTTTATATATTTATTAATCATATTTATATCATGCCTTTCCCCCAATGAGCTGAAGGTGGAATACTTGGCTTTCCTCCATTCCATTTTTTTCTAACAGCAACCCTGTGAGGTAGGTCCGGCTGAGAGAAAAAGAGACCAGTCTGAGGTCACCCAGTGAATTTCACTGTCCAGTAAAGTCTTGGACCTAGATTTCCCAAGCCCTAGTTCACTTGGGCATAGAAAGGAGCCTGGCATCACAGTCCCTGGTTGTCTCACCACAGCAAACGTCTTGCTCAGGCCCATCACAGGCCCTTTTGTATTTTCACAGAATGCCTTAGTTATCAAGCCACTAGGCTTTTTTTAAAGCCCTGCACCCCCAGACAAGACAATTCTGGTTCACGTCAGAGCTGACATCCAGTTTAACTTGTTCCTCAGTTTTTCACAACTCCTTGGAAACTGAGCACTGCAGAAGGTCAAAGAGTTAAAGGAAAATCTGGTGGTTTGCCCCTGTTAGGTACATTCGATCTCAGCTGACTGGGTTTGGCTTAAGAGGGATGTCTAAATGGCTAGACCCAAACACCA